TCAGATTAGTTTGACATGATTTGTTCTTTACAAATCCATGCTGGCTATTCCCTATCACCTTACCACCTACCAAGTGTTTGCAGATGGTTTCCTTAATTACTTGCTCCATTATCTTCCCTGGCACGAAAGTTAAACTAACTGGTCTGTAGTTTCCTGGGTTGTTTTTATTTCCCTTTTTGTAGATGGGCACTATGTTTGCCCTTTTCCAGTCTTCTGGAATCTCTCCTGTCTCCCATGATTTTCCAGAAATAATAGCTAGAGGCTCAGATACCTCCTCTGTTAGCTCCTTGAGATACCGCTACTCGTGGCGGGTGGATTAATTATGTCAATGGGAGAGCTCTCTCCAGTCAACATAGTGGCTACACTAGAGATCTTATGGTAGTGCAGCTGCATCAGTACAGCTCCACCACTATAAGCTCTCTAGTGTAGACAGAGCATTAGATTGACGTCCCCCATGATCACACAGCTTTTTTCTTGCATGTTGTAGATAGATGCTTAAGGAACTGGTCAACCTGTTCCCTAGTTTCAGTAGTGGTTTGTAGCAGACACCGACTAGTATCCCATCCTGAACTTTTTCTAAGCATTCAAGAGCAGTTTTTTCTGAGTTGTTTCACTAAGGCCTTGTCTACATTACACAGGTCAACATAAGGCAGCTTATGTTGACCTAATTATGTCACTGTGCACACTACAGCCTTGTCCAGCCAATGTAAGTGCCCTACTACACTGACATAGTAAATCCACCTCCACGAGAGGCACAGAGCTCATGTTGGTGTAGTTAGGGCGACACAGTGTCTGTGTAGACACTGCCTTACTTACATCGGCTGTTGGCTGTCTTGTCAATTCCATGGCTCCATGCTGCCTCCAGCTCCCTACTCCCAGACAGGCTCAGGCCTGGAGGCTCCTGATCAGGGAGTCAAGAAGCCTGGGTGACTGCCCCGCCCCCATTTCCAGCTGGGAGTAGAGAGCTGAGTGTCCAGGGGGCAGCTGGTCTCCCTGTGGGGAGCTGAGTGGAGCTGAGAGCCCTGGCTCTCAGCCCCCCACAGTGCCCCTCTTCAGTCGGTTGAAGTGCTCCTGGTGAGGATGCACACCACTGACAGGAGGGAAGTGTGGACATCAGCCACGGGCTGTAAGTCGACCTAACATAGCTCAACTTAGGCCTGTAGTGTAGACATGCCCTTAGAAACAGGTAGGGTTATTTTTGACAGAGTGCTCCTGCCTCTCTCCTTTATCCCCACTCAGTCCTTCCTGAATACATTATAATAATTGATTGTAACATTCCAAACATGACTCATCCCATCAGTTTACAGTACTACCACTTATATCAAATTTATGCTCATAAATGGGCAATTCCAATGATTAGTGTAGGTTTCTAGAATTGGCACATAATCAATTAAAGAATTTCTTCTTTTCATGGCCTTTGGTGTCTTGATTCATTTTGTTCTCAACATCATGATTTTGTGCTAAGTGAGTGCTTATTTGTTCCCTCTTTTCACACACTTCCTCTCAGACTACTGTAGCCAGTCTGTCCCTGAGAAGACTGGTTCCTGTTCTACTGAAATGCAGGCCATACAAACTGTACAGCCCCTTCTCCCTGTGGAAGGCGGACTAATACTCCACAAAGCCAAGCCCCTCTCCCTTACACCACTTACCTAGCCAGTGATGCACTTTCTTTGCTCATAGAGAAGGAATGATCTCCTTCCCTGAAGTCATCTATAATCTGTGAGATACCTGGCAATGCAGTGTCATTAGTGTTGATATACACCATCACCAGTGAATCCATCCCCTTTGATTTCAGAAGCCTATCAAATCTTATGGCAGGTCTACACTATGGGGTTAAGTCGACCTAAGTTATGCAACTTAATAACATAGCTGGAGTCGACGTAGCTTAGGTTGACTTATTGCGATGTCTACACCACGACTTACCTTATGCTTCTCATTTCTGGTGGAGTACCGGAGTCGATGAAAGAGCGATCTGTGATCAATTTAGCGGGTCTTCACTTGACCCACTAAATTGAGCCCCGGTGGATCGATCACTGTAGCGTTGATTCACCGTAAGTGTAGACATGCTGTTAGAGTGATGACTTATAGCCTTGGTTCAGGGAAGATAGCACACCATCCTGTTGTCCATCTGTTCTTTGCAGAATGTTCTTCCCGTTCTTGTTAGTATGGAATCCCCAACAAGAAGCGCCTGTTTTCCTTGGACAGTTGAAGGTCTTTGAGGGCAAGTAATCGAATTGAAAATAGTTTTTTTTAACTAACCTCTATTAGTTATACTCTTCACAGTTACTTGCAACAATAGGTGAGACATTTAGGAAGAAAGGTGATTTTTTTTTTCAAGTTGGTGTTCCTTTATCAGAGCACGGATCATTTAATCTAATGGTAGAGTATCATTTTCTGATGGCTTTTGCTTTTAAATGATTAGGCTTAACAGGAGCAGGTAAGGGGTGTATATTTTTCAGGGTGCTATACAAACATTAAATGGTCCAAAAGAAATGCACTGTTTGTGGAAACATTGTGTAACTAGTGTCCACTGCTCCCCAAGGGCCAAGTGTTATGAAGTTATGCAGTGAGGTATTTTCTCTTTTGATTGTATGGGGGACACCTTCATTGCTTCTGCTCAATAGTGCTGCCTGGTGGTACATAGGCCACTCTGATTAGCTGCTCATTAATGTCTCTGCCTGGACTGTCACTTAACTGAAAGCCATCTAATTATCACAGTATTTTCTGTAGTACAAGAAAGAACGTTAGTATTCCCCTTTGCTAGGTCCCCCCCCCCCCCCCCCATGAACAACATAATGCTAAAAAACTGGTTTAGGCCCTCTCCTTCCTGAAAATATACAGGGTGTTGAATGACGGTCCAGATGACATGTTAATTATAAACATGAAGTGTGTGTGTATGTCTTTTTAAAAAGAGTGAAAGAAGAATTGGCTAGACCACTCCCAAGCCTCTCATTCACATGGGGGTAGTGGGAGATTTATTTATTGAGGCCTGCCCTAAATCTCACACTGTTTGGGGGAGGGTAGACTCCTTCTGTCAGACCCACCCCAAGTCTCCCTCATCGGGGAGATGGAGAGCTCCAGGAGGGAGACTTCCTCAGGCAGTTTCTGAGTCTGTGGGGGGAGGGTTGCTCTGTATGCTTAGGGAGCATCCCCATATCTCATGACTTCCACCCAGCAGCTGGAAAGCCCTCTGCCCCTTTAGTTCCCCTCCCACTAGCAGCTGGAAAACCCTGTCCTGCCCCATAACTGTTTCCAGCATAAACTGGCCCCTGTGCTGGTCTAGCAGAGTTGATGCTGCTGGGGGAACAGGGAGAAGCCTCTTGGGCTCCTGCCTCAGCTGAGTCTGATTTGCTGTTGTGCTATTGCTACATGACCGCCCTCTCCATGGCTCCAGCCATTGGGGAGTTTCATCAGCAACTGGACTGTGATTGATGAAGGGCTCAAAAGGGGCTCAGCTGCATTTCATGCAGAGGAAGGTCCCTCAGCACTTGGGCTTAGGGTTACCACCTGCTCGGTATTTGACCAGCCTGGCCCTTTTATTATGGATGTGCCAGTTGCCACAATAATAATTTAATCTGCTGGGTTTTTTATGTGGGTCTAAAAATTTGCATTATCACAATACACCAGGATATCTAATGTTAAAAGTTTCTGTATCTAGCTAAAGATGCTGCAGTTTTCCCCTTTCCACACTTTAAGTGGTAACAGATCAAAACTGTTCAAAATACAGCAGCTGTCTACCCACCAACAAGCAAGCACACCGTGCGCATGTGCGAGAGGGTTAGAGTCATGCAAGTGTGAGGAGATGTGCAATGTTATCAATCTTATCTATATGTGTTCTCTCTCCATAGGTGGCTGTTGGGGGGGGGGGGGGTTTGTGGTGTTGCCTTGTGGTTGAGGTTGCAGCAGGCTTGCCTTGTGGGGCGGGTTAGGGTTGCCAGGTGTCCGGTTGAAAAGGGACCCTGGTAGCTCTGGTCAGCACCGCTGACCGGGTTACTAAAACTCTGGTCAGCGGTGCAGCAGGGCTAAGGCAGGCTTCCTGGCTTCACGCAGCTCCCAGAAGCAGCCAGCATGTCTGGCTCCTAGGTGCAGGGGAGGCCATGGGGGCTCCGTGCGCTGCCCCCATGCTAGGCGCCGGCTCCTCAGCTCCCATTGGTCAGGAACCGCAGCCAATGGCTGCAGGGGCAGCACTCAGGGCAGGGGCAGTGTGTGGAGCCTCCCTGGCCCCTCCACCTAGGAGCCAGACATGCTGGCTGCTTCTGGGAGCTGCCTGGCTAGAGCCCTCACCCTGCATCCTCTCCCCAGCCCAAAGCCCCCTCCTGCACCCCAAACCCCTCCTCAGAGCCCACACACCCCAAGCCCAGTGAAGTGAGTGAAGGTTGGGGAGACCGAGGGAGGGAAGATGAACTAAGTGGGGGGCAGAACCTCAGAGAAGGGGTGATTAGGGCGGGGCAAGGGTGTTTGATTCTGTGCGATTAGAAGGCTGACAGCCCTAGGGGCTCCATTTTTTGCATTTCAAAGGTGGTAACCCTATTCAGGCCTCCCGTGCCTTATGCTCTCTTCAGGGGTCTGGCTCCAGCTCTCCGGCCCCCTGTGCCCTGTACTCCCTTCCTTCAGGAGTCTGGCTCGCTCCCTCCGCCCTTTGTGTGACCGCCGGCGAGTAGCGCCTGCCCCACACCGGCTCACGGCTCGAGGTAGCCGCCAGATGTTTGGCCGCAGGAGGCTTCACTTGACGCAGTCCCCCACCAGGGGCCGCTGTACACGTGTCCCGGCGCTCCCAGGGCGGGTAAGGTGCTATTTCTCCCCCACCCTCCCCAACTCGTGGCGCAGGTTCCCTACAGCTCCCGCCGCCGGGGCGGCTCATGTTCCAATCCCCGGCTGGCGCCACGCGGGGCAGGGAACGCTCCCGTTCACCCTGCGCGGGGCAGGGAACGTTCCGCTCGCGCGGCCCGGGTACGTTGGAGACCGTTGGTCACTCGTGGGGCCCCAGGTTGGGGTTAGTGTCACGCGCGGGTTTTGCCCGTGGTGACGTCACCGGTCGCGCTCTAGTCTCGCTCAGTCGGCGTTTCCCGACCGCGTGCAGCAGTTTGAGCTCAGCCCAGCGGTTCCACCCAGTCAGTTAGTGGCCAGCAGTAGTAGCGGCGGTAGTGAGCTCCCGTTAGCGACGCCTCTTACGCCCCGCCCTGCCCCATGTTCGGACCTGATAAGCAGTCGGGGCAGCCGAAGCTGGACTGCGGTGGCAGGTTCGGGAATATGGCGTCTGTGGGGGAATTTAACTCGTTCAGCGCTAGCATCCCGGCCACCAAGGTGGAGCTGTCTGTGTCCTGCAGGTAAGCGAGCGGGGTTAGACGGTGCGGGGCACCCGGGGGTGCTGCCTTGCGTGGCGTGTCGGGTGTGAAAGCCCCAGCTCCCCCTCTGGTGCCCTAGGAGGATGGGATGGAGGGGCGACGTGTCTGATCCAGCCCCCTTGTGGTTTCTCGGGCTGGGGTGTGCGCTCCACTCTCCCTGTGATGAGCTGTGTGGGCGGAGGGTCCCGACCCTTCCCCCGTGGGGTGGGGAGGGCAGGACGGGGACTTGGGGAGCAGGCGGAGTGAAATCCCTGAGCGCTGGGGACCGTACAAAGGAGAGTTGTTTTCGGTTCCTTTTCGCAAGTGCTTTCTGGAGCGACTTGGCTCATCCGTTTCCTCTGGGAATGTTCCAGCTGGGAGAAGTTGGTAAATCCTCATGCCGAGGGGTGGGTATTCAGACACCAAAATCTAGTAACAGGCTCCTTCCCTTCCTGGGAACCTCCGATTGGCTCTGGTGTTACAGGCTACGCAGGGAGTGATGGCAAATACATAGAGAAATAGTAGATGGGGGATTCCCCGTACCAAAACGGTGTGGCAGCCTGGGCTACCGCCCCAAATTATTTCCTCGTGGGAGGGCTGCGTGTGATGCAGGCGTCCAAACCAGATCGGTTCCAAACCTTTCACTGGAGGAGAGAGAGAGACAGACTCGAGTTGGGTTTCTGTGGTCAAGGAGCATTTCCTCAGTCTGGCTGACACTTATCCTCAGACCTGTCCCCAGGTCTCATGCGATGCGGAGAGGAGGGACAACCCCTGTCAAGACATTGTTTAAAAGAACCTTGTAAAACGGTTTCAAAACCTTAACAGTCCAGTCACACACTCCGTCCATCCTTGACTATGATGTTGATGGTAACTAAAAAAACCCTAACTAATGATATTTCAATTGCTCATCAAAATTTACTCGGCCTGGGTGCGTGAGGGCAAGTAGAATGTTCTAAGTTTGGCAAAGATTTTCCCCCTCTAAGGATGAAGAATTTTTGCTTTGTGTGCTATGAGACCCTCTCCCTAATATTTAGAAATCTCCTTAAAACTGCCTAATCGACTGTAGAACAGCAGCCGCCGTAGCTGGTGTATTTGGCAGCTTTAATTGTTGTTTCCTGTTGCGAAACGAAACAGTTTGCTGAGCCATTGCCAGTGACATACTGTACTACTAAAATGTCCTGGGCTGTATCCTCTCTGTTGCTTCAGAGGTGCCGAGGTTACCACTGCCACTCCTTCAGTGGTTTACAAAACAGAACGGCTGCTCCTGAACTCCCTTCCCCGAAGTAAACCTCGTAGCTGTTTGATAAGGGGAACACATCGAAACAAGGATAAATCAATGAGAAGCACAATAATCCTCGACTTCCTAATGGCTAGGCAGATGAAAAGCTAACACGCCCATTCCCCCCCCCCCCCCCCCCCCGCAAAACGTGCTTGTTTATTATTAGGTTGTCCACTTCCTCCACCAATACTTTTGTTTAAGTCGCCTATTGCCTCTTTTCTTAATCTAAAATTACAAGGTGTCTTGGAAGGGGATGGCCTTCTTGTTAATTTTTTGTACAGCACTGTATAAATTGATTAGGTTCCCTAGCCACTGTCTGTAATACAAATAATAATAAAAAAGGCTGATGTCCCCCACTTACTATGTAGAAGAGGGATGAACTTATTTAATGGGGGTTGGTTTGAAGACTGTAAATATTCTTCCTTTTGGGATGGAGTTTTTTGTATATTGAAATTTTGACAGTTTGTGACGCCTCAGAATATTGACTTTCTAGAAGTCACCACAGAGTTTCTAAATAGCACCCAAAGGGAAACTGGACACCACACAAGGCATGTTATTGTTTAGAGAAAAACAGGCTCTAGGGTTCAGGAGCTTTAGTTTTAGGGTTGGATTTGGTAAGTAAATGCTGTGATATCTGTCATTTTGTGGTATTTTATACTTTTTGACTCAGTTTTTTGTGTGTAATAAGAGAACACCTCTTCAATTCAGATTGCTGGTTTACTTTTTTATATTTTATTTCAGATTTTCAGTACTATAACTTGGCAATAAATAAAACAGTATTGTTATGAAACTTGAGTGTTGAAGAAAATAGTACTGATATAAAACAATATAGCCAAATCTAGCTGATTGAGATATACTAGTGTTTTTTTTAATAATTAGTCAATCAAGAAGTTATTTAAATACTATAACTCACCTAATATGATTGGCTAAAATATGGGTGTTCATGTCTCTGTACATGCCGTAGCTAGACAAAGGAAAACAAAACATTCCATGGGTTCATGCAACAGAAAGAAAAACAAGGTTGTTCAAACAAAACTGGCTTCTCATTTGACTATTCACTCCTCCCAGCTCCTCCTCTTCATTCCTGTGTTAGGTCTTACTTGTCAAATGTTAATGTCTAAATATATGGGAATTCCCTAAGGGAATTTCCTTTATAATGCAAATGGTAAACTGCACTTTTTTTGATTGGCAGCAGAAACATGTATTAATATCAAGATGGAAAATGAATGACTTTAGGAAAGACACTAATGAATAACACATGATTATGACTCATCTGTGTACACATTTATTGGCTAAAACCCCAAAAGAGATAGCATTCTAATACAAATATGCAATATGGACAGAAGAATAAACTGCCAGATACAGCAATAAATGCTTCAGTTCAGTAATTAGAAATTACATTTGTTTTTAGAAAATTTCTGCCTTCATTTATACTGTAGTACAATATCTTAAATTATATAATTATTTCATACTTCCTTATAATCTAGTGCTAATACTGGTTCTAATACTGATTATCAGCTAATAGAGCATTAGTTTGTGCTTATCTGTTCTTATATTCCAGCTACATTTTCTACTTCCTTTTTGGATGTCTGTAGGAACCATACAACACTAGTCCATTTATCATTTGCTCACTGGTGTAACTGGGCTGTCAATGCACGCAATGTGGTCTACTAGTTACATTAATAGACAAGGAGTCAAGCAACATGGGTTCTCTTCCTGACTTCACCAATAATTCACTCTGTGACCTGTGGAAGTCACTTGGTGCTTCAGTTTCCTCATCAGTAAATTGGAGTTAATAATAAAACTATGTTCACACATTAAATGAAAGTAGTATTTCTGACCTCAAGAGATTAAAAAATGAGTTAGACCACTCAAGAAACCACAAACCATGTGATTTTTTGTTTTCCCCCCCAAGGTTTTTTTTTTTTTTTTAAAAGATAATATAGTGTATTTTGGGGGTGTGTGTGTGGTTTTTTTTTTTTCTGATCTGTCTTTTGATTTTTGAATTCCCTCTGCCTATCACACGCATGTGTGACAATTGGTGTTGCCCAATGTCCCAAATTTATTTGGTAAGGTGATTTTTGGCCCTGGCTGCAGGAGTAAGTTTGCCAGGTATCCAGTTTTCCACCGGAACACCTGGTTGAAAAGGGACCCTGGTGGCTCCGGTCAGCACCGCTGACCAGGCTGTTAAAGTCCAGTTGGTGTGGGGCTGGCAGGCTCCCAACCTGGCTCTGCACAGCTCCCCTTGGCCCCAGCCCGGAGCCTCCTCCTGCACCTGGAACTCCTCATCCCTGGTCCTACCTCAGAGCCAGCACCCCCAGCTGGAGCCCTCACCCTCCTGCACCCCAACCCCAGCCCGGAGCCCCCTCCCACACTCTGAACCCGTCAGTCTCACCAGTCAGCCCAGAGCCCCTCCTGCACCCTGAACCCTTCATTCCAGAGCCCATACCCCTGCCCGGAGCACCCTCCCTTATCCTGAACCCTTCATTTCAGACTCCACCCCAGAGCCCATACCCACTCCCATACCCTAACCCCCTGCCTCAGCCCAGAGCCCCCTCCTGCATCTTGAACCCGTAATTTCTCGCTCCACCCCGGAGTCTGCACTCCCAGCTGGAGCCCTTACCGGAACCCCAACCCACTGCCTAAGCCTGGTGAAAATGAGTGAGTGAAAGTGGGGGAGAGCGAAGGTTGGGGGAGGGGGATGGAGTGAGTGGGGGGCGGGACCTCGGGGAAGGGGAAGGGTTACGGTGTTCCGTTTTGTGTGATTAGAAAGTTGGCAACCCTGTGCAGGAGCTCTCACCCCTACATCTGTCTGTCCCCTGTCCAGCGATTAATCCTGCCCCTCCTTCCCCCAATTCCTGCATCAGTTCTGCTCATTTGTAGCCCCAATGTCCATAAGTTCTGCCTCCTAGCCTCTCCATCAATTCAACGTCCCACCCCATCAGTTCTGCCCTCTACCTCATTTCTGCTCTTCCTGGGGTTTTTCACTTCCCTCTCCTAGGCCTGGGAGTGGGGACTACAGCCGGGTCCCCTTCTCCCCCTTCCAGGCTGGGGCGATGGGGAGTATTAGCTCCAGAGGCTCTGCACCCCTTTATACTGTTCCCAAGCTGCATGTTGCAGTGAGTGGGGGGAGGACCAGAGGAGCCATCCCCATTGTTCCAGGAGGGGATGAGGGACTGGAGTCGAACTGAGCTTCTGAGTGTTTTCTCCCCCCCCCCCCTTCCCTCTCCTTTCTCAGCCATTGTCACTGGTGGCGAGAGGGAGTGGGGGGTAAGAGCTCTTTCTTTAGCAGCTCCGATTGGTTGTTCTGCCCCATGAAGTGGACAGGTGGGGCAGACAGCCAATTGGAGGACTTTTTTTCCCCTGAGGCAGCACTCAAATATGTCAGATGACTGGAGTGTCTTGCTTCATCATAAGACTTGCTACAGCCCTGGCGAAATCCAGACACTTGTGGATAAACTGGCTCATCTCTTGGCATTGATTTTGCAATTATTTCTTTTTTTGTCTACAATATTTCATCTAATTTTTATGGATATAAAATGTGAGTATAGGCCCCATGAAGTCTTGGTGAGCGGTCAATGGCTCCCAGGACAAGGGAAGGCTCTATACTAAACTATCCTATATTACTCAACTCACGTTTACAAGAAAGTATTAAAATCAGATTAAGGGAAGAGCTAGCCTGAGGTAACAAAGGTGAGTTCCATTTGCTCTCTGCGACAGTAGC